TGAATTGGGCATCCAGAAACGGAAGCACCCAAAAATCTCTGGCCACTTTTGAAATTCACGGCCGATGTTTACTTCTGTGTGTATAGACCAAGTAACACAACAGTAATATAAATAATTTGTAACAGTATACAGTGGAAAGCTGTCATGTCTGACTCAGTTTATCAATTTTGCCTTACTCAAGCAAAAGGCAAAAACCTGAAGCAATTACAAATTATTGGGAACCTTGGTTTTGTCCGGTGCTGTCAGAGAGAAGACGCTCAGAAAAGGATGTGTGCATCTGTGTGCATTCTTCACACAGAAATCCTGAAAGACCTGGAATGACTGGGATTCGATTCTCATTGGGAGCATGGAAATAATGAAAATAGTCATTGCGTTTCAAGCACAGTAGGTATGCATGGCATTTTATAAAGCAGTGGTTAGGCAAGTCCCCACACTAAGAAGCTCAATCTGAACATCCAACAGTTGCACTGGGAGAACAGGCAAAAACAATACACCTCACTCTTCTGATAAAGCTCTCTGATAGAGAACCCTGGCCTTCAGCCACAGTACATGAAACCCAAGTACATTTAAACTCCCTGGAATACTTCCACACTTACAAAGGCTGCTTCACTACTTCTAGCACAGTCAAAAATGCTTAGTCTAAGCGTAACATCACTAGCATGAGTACTACACAGAAAACTTTTATTTTATGAGTCATGCAATCAAATACTCAAAAGTGACTTTGTGTGTACAGCTTGACACACCTAGGACCAGATTTTTGATGTGCTGAGGAACCACTAAGAACTACGAACGCTCAGCACCTCTGAAAATCAAACCAAGGCATCTAAAGTTGGGCACATAAAAATTGAGGCACAGTCAGTGGCCACCACTGAAACTTCTGGCCTAAACCTTTAACAATTGTTCTGCATCTACACTACCACATCAGAGGCATATGTATCTGGTAGAAAGTCTATTTGCATATCTTAATTAAAAACCATCTTAAGCATTGGAATCTAGTGCATTTAATTGTTCTAGAAACAAAAACAATTCCTCTCTTCCCTCTCTGATTACGGTATTTGCAAATTCAAAAGAAGGCCAGGAAGAAGCTAAGCACATAATTAAAATAAAACCATGTCATTTGAAACTAAGAACTACTGAAATATCAAATCTGATCGAGCTGCCAAAGTCAGAGTTTTTCACACTGACATTTTTCCTGTCTTATTACAAGTTAGAGTTAGCTTTAAGCCTGCATAGTGTCAGCTTTAGCTCCACCTGTATAGAAAAAGGAAAACAATATGACAGCCCCAAAGGAGGAGATGAAGGGCTGAAATTAAGTGAAATTGTTCCATATCTAGTGTGACCTTTTCTTTACCAAAATACAGAGAATCTTACCTTAATAAGCAGATTTTTAGATTGTGTTTAGGAGGAAAAAAAGCCTCCTTCAGTGCTCCCCCCCTCTGTCCCCCGAGATTAACTTCAGATAGCCACCTGCCAAGAAGTCCAGCTAGACATCTCCAGAGCAACAGACAAATCCTATGCTTGTGCTGGCCAAGTAATGTTAGGACAGCCTAAACAAAGGGTGGAAAGGGGGATAAAACAGAAGTATCCAGATTTAGAAGAACTGATCTACACAATTTTTTTACTGATTTAACTATATCTGTTTAGAAACAGATATAGTTAAATCTGTGCAACCCCAATGCAGGCAGAAACAACAAGGAGTCCGGTGGCACTTTAAAGACTAACAGATTTATTTGGGCATAAGCTTTTGTGGGTGAAGTGAGGTTTTTTTTACCCACAAAAGCTTATGCCCGAATAAATCTGTTAGTCTTTAAGGTGCCACTGGACTCCTTGTTTTTGTGGATACAGACTAACATGGTTACCCCTCTGATACTTGACATAATGCAAGCAGAGTTATAATGTTATCAAAGTGCTTAGATCTGTACGGCCTATTTCAGTAAATTGACTAAGTTTCTAGACCAATATAGGTAAATCGGTATAAAAACTGTGTTGATAAGCCTGAAGATGCCAGTGAGAAAAATGCAGTAACAACTAAAAAAAGATCTTAAAACTGTTTTCCCCCCAAAGTTGTAACTGCATCTCATAAAGGAAATGTAGTGCTTCATGTACTCGAAATATAAGTGATTAAATTAGTCACAAAGCCTTTGCTCTGAGTGTATTACTGTATGCAGTCTGTAACCCACAAAGAGCTACCTTCAATCTGCAAGAGAATTATTAATCAGCAAACTGGTTGAACCCAAAACAATCAGAACCTCCTTCCAATGGTCAGGTGACTGTTCCAACCTTGATGTGGCAGGAGATGGAAACCTGCAGTAATCTGGCTCTGTATGCAAGACGCTAGAAATTAAATGTGGTTCTCACACGAAAAGTAATCAGAGTTACAAAAAAAAAAAAAAAAAAAGAAGGGCATTTAAATATTGTCACAAACTGAACTCCTGCAAAATCTAACCCTAGGAACTTCCTTCCTAGACCATTCACTGCATATTTAGAGGATAAAAGACTCCCTTAAAGACACACACAAAAAAAACCCACCCCAAAACCACCTCTCTCTTCAGATAAAATATGAATCTTATCATAGAAGATGTGTATGGTTCTCTTTACTTGTTATAACATGATGAACAGAGTTTGTTAATTAGCCAAATGACTTGCTGCAGTTTTGTTCAATCTGTTTATCCTGCAGACTCAACAACCATGGCAAATGCCTCGATGTGGGACTGATTTAGAAGACATGAAAAGGGAGGAGGGGGCAGAGAGACTGCAGCCTGAGCAGTTCCTGTAAGAGAACACTTCTGAGCACTCCAATCTTTTCACACTTTGATAGGGATTAACTTAATGATCCCATACATTGATTCCTGGTGAATTACTGCAATTCTATTCAGTACAGCATGCAGCTGTACATCATCATACTGTACTGCAAAATATCAATCTTCTAAGAACACTGCTGTAATGAGAGAGGTGTATGCTTTATAGAACTAGCTACAAAATAAGTAATACACAGAAAAAGCCACCTTTAAATTAAAATAAAAAAAAAACATTTAAAGTTTGGGTATTCTTCATTATGGGAAAGAACCTTCCACTCTGAGACCATTATCCATCAGAAAAGCTCCATCTGTTGTATAATTATCTCTGATAAATGACACTAGTCTGAGCTTCATTAGCGAGGTGGGGGGAGGGGAAGAGAGCTAGCTGGAACTGTAAATAAATCTCACCACTGTTTTGCACTTAAACTAAAGCCATCCCAGCAGGAAGGTGTAAAGAATTTTTTTTATGGGTAATATTTTCAAGTGCTCTACTGGCTGTGCTGCCTAATATCAGTCACCTTGGAGCATCCATTGATGAGTGTGTAGCAATTAGGGATGGAAAACATTTTATTTCTTTAATTCCCCCCTCCCCGCACCCACACACATTCCTTGTAATCCAACTCAAGTCTCAATGAAAACATTTTCACAAAACCTGGCCCAGCAGCATGGAAGAAGTGCCCTGTATCACCAAATGGTAGATCTTGGGTTATGAGTGAGCAGGGGATTGAAGGCCCCAGACCTGTGAAGGCCCAACGTGTTGTTGAATTCTCTAGGAAAGGTGTTGTAAGAACTGCTTTTACAGCACCCCACAGGTTTTTCCGTGGAGAAGCGCTGGACGGAGGGAAGTGATGGGATGGTGGCCGCCAGCAACTGTGTGTGTGAAGGAAAGACAACAATAGTCACATTGCAAATTAACTCTTATTACAGCAACTGATATCAGAGTGCCTTGGAGTTTAACTAATAGGAAGTGCCCATTACTGCCTGCCATAGTACTGACAGGGTACCCAAATATTGTATTCATAGCATAGTACAATCTAATTTTAATTAAAATTTATGTTACAGTTAGTACAAATAAACTGTCACAATCCCATACTTGTATGCAGTGTTGTTGTACCCGTGTTGGTCCCAGGATATTAGAGAGCCAAGGTGAGTGAGGGAATATATTTTACTGGACCAATCCATACGGATACATATGGCCTTGTTCAAACCACTCAAACTAACAAAACTGAAACCCAACAAAGGCAATGTATCAAAGCTCCTTCAACCCTGGCACTTTGAGGCAACTACTATAAATAAGAACTCAAAGTGTTTAAGAACGCTGGCATCTCCAGAATCTTCCCTACTAAAAAAGATGTGGATATAAATATGTTCTCCTTGAAATGTGCATGTGTATTTGCCATTCATTAGATATCAGGGTATTAAGAGCAAGAGAGATTCTTTCCATAGCCCACCTTTCAGAAAAGTAAGACTTTAGTCTGAAGAAAATGAAACTATGAATCACACATTATTTACGAGTGTAACGTATTGGAACATTTTTAACTCAATGTATTACACACAGCATTAACTCATACAGAAATTTAGAATAAATTTTCCTGAAAGAAGGCAGACATTAGCCCAGAGTTTTATTATGCCAAGTCTGAACACTTTACCTCTGCCTTTAGATAGGATTCTAGCCTGTAAGAGTTCTATAAACAGACAGAGAACCGTGAACAGGGAGATGGGGTCAAAGATCATCCCACAGTCAGTTCTGTGAGAGATTTACCACCAGTCTAACAAACCCTATAATACAGTCAATACTGCATATAGCCATTTTTAAAAGGTTTTAAAATAATGATATATGGACCAAATTGATAAGATTCTGGTTTCTATGCCACCGCATACAATAGTTTACCTGTAGTAATGTAGGGACAGAATTTCATTAAAATGGGTAAAATTGTCTTAGAGTCAATCAACATCAGCAGGACTAAAGCTCAAACAGCTGTACATCAGTATAAAAATTGTTTCTAAAAATCAAAGTGGCCCCTTTTTTGTTTGTTCATTTTTGATTAAACCCAACTGTTTGAGTTTCACGATTATTTTCTAACTCCCTCCTCCCCAAAAGAGAGGTCATCTCTTTCTAGTAAGAGACAGTGACAAATGGCACTGAGAAAAGAGCAGATGTTTAGGTTTCCTGTTTTCCCCCCTCAAGGCTCATGCACTTACATTCCTCTTTACTCAGCGAAGTTACATTCAGTTCTGTCGAAAGTTGCTGGTTGGAGTTAACAGTCTGCGTAGTTAGAGAGGTATTGCTGTTGTCACTGTTTGTTTCTTCAGAGAACAAATCTGATTGGCTGTTGCTTGTGCTGGGAGTGGAGTCATCATCTGGCTGCTTCTTTTGGAAATCTATCAAAAACAAGGTTGAGAAAGTGGAATGAGGTACGAAGGCTACTCACTTCATTTTATGCTTGAAGCAGCAGAATTGAGAGAAAAAAATGAAAACAGTCCAAAATGCAATGAGTACACGGTCTGGGTTAACATCACTCCAACTGATTCCATGCATATGCTGTAAAATAAAACGCTGAAGTAGCCTTAAGGTTTTTGATTTATCCCAGATTTGAAACTTCACTTTAGAATTTCCTTGTTATTGAGAAGTACTGACAGAATGCTTAGCACTACACAAAGACGACGACAGTCCTTGTTCCAAGGATCTTGGTCTAACAGAGCATCCAAAGTTTACTTGTGTGTTTGACAGTCGAACACTTAACATTCATGCTGTTGTATAAACAGTTAAAACAAAGTGTGGAGAAAGTATGCATCTGATGAGGTAAGACCTGGAAGAGACTCCCTGGGTTATCCAATCCAACTATAAGCATATTTACACTATGGTTTTGTGAAAAATGTTTCCCATTGTGACCTGTAAAGTTCCACTAGGGTAGCAATGATGGGAGTGCTAGAGTAGACATGGCTTCTGGTTGTCCTTCAGCATTGTAAGCACAGTATGGTCTAACCTTGTTCTGAGCAGACCTACATAAACATGAGTAAAATGCCCGTGATGGATGCCTGGCACTTTGTTTGCGCCAGTGCTCCCCGCCATTGTTCCCACTAATGGAGCTGAACTGGTGGCAGCAACTGTGGGAAATTTTAGAGACCGTAAGCTAGCGTAAAGCCTGCCTGATGGAAACAGGCGTTGCCTATATATTACTTTCTCTGAACATTTTATCTAGCCCGCTATTTAAATACCTCTCCTGATGGTGTCTAGGGCTACATCTACATTGCAGCGCAGTGCGGACTACAGGTGTGTGACTTGCAGACCACACCCAAGTGTTGCGCTTTAACTGCCCTGTGTGGACATGCTGGCAAGAATGAAAAGGTACCTAGTTTGCGTTAGCATAGTCCTGTTTGAAAGATGACTCTGTTAATGTCAACTAGGTACCTTTTAGTTTGTGTCAGTAGCATCCTCAGAGGGCAGTTAAAGAGCAACACTTTGGTGTGCTCTGCAGTTCACACGCCCATAGTCCTTAACGTGACACCTTGCAGACAAGCCCTAAGCCATCTCTTTGGATGATCGCTCCAGTACCTAGACACCACTTAAGTGAGGGATTAAACACCTAAACCTACAATTTTCCTATCATGCTGCTGCTGTTTCTAATATTTCAAACTATGAGTAATCCTCCATCCTCTACACTACTACTTCTCAAACCGCGGCAGACAATCATCATAATCATCCCACTTTATCTGCTTTTTGCCAAGCTATGTACAGTTAAGTTCCCTTAAAACAAGAAAATACTCCTTATATACTCCATTTATACTGGAGAAAACTCAAAGATATAAATGTTTTCCCCCAACTTTGCTATTTAGCAAATATGACAAAAGAAAAAATAAAATTGTGAGTATAGAAATGCCTCCCTCTCACTCCACCCTCACCCTCTACCAGAGACTGCAGTGAAGTCATAGTGCTTCACATTTCAACTGTAGCAACAGAAAACATCATCCCCAGATCATGACTTCATTATGGGATCCAGCAGATGACCTCAGTGAACACAGAAGTGTCCTAAAAAATTGTGAAGAAAAGTTTAGAAAAGTACTGGCAATGCAAACGGCTTGCAGGTAAACTTTCACCCTTCCCGCACCAAGTAAAAACCTCAGCTTAATTTTCTCCACAAACATATCTTGTAATTCTTTTATTTTTCCTCACCTTTCCATGTCTTTTCTCTAACATACCGTACTTATGGTACCTAGATTGTAAGCAATTTAGGACAGGTACTATGTCTTTATACTTGTATAAAGTACCTAGCATACTGCTAATGCTATACAAGTAAATAAATATGGAAATATTAGCATTAACATTCAGCTATACAGGACAACCATCTTATTCCCTGGGCCTCTCAGTCCTTAACCTTTTCCTCCATGTCTCAGACTTGGCTCATTCACCCCAGCTGTACTCCATCTGTAGATAAGAAGCAGTCAAACAGCCTATGGATTCCTATGGAGACATCTTTAAAACAGATGAGAACTGGGGAAACCACAGGTCCTTGCAAGCAATGTTCCAGATCTAGCCAAGCAGCTGGGCCACTCATATCAAGGCAGATCATTGCATGTCGAGACCTGTAGCCTCCATGGGCTGCTGCATATCTATATGAAAGATGAGAGTTTGCAATCTACTCCATTTCATCATAATTTACTAATACTTGAAACAAATTGCAAGGGACAATTCTCCAAATAAAACGGGGTCTGGGGTCTGCTGCAAGGTTATGTTTGCATTTTGATTAATTTCAGGTTGCTTTGCTTTTGGAAAGGTGCGAGGAAAAGGCAGAGAACAACAAATTAAAATGCAAAGAATGCATATGAAACCCTCCAACTCTCCCCAGATGGTTCTGCTTATCTGAAAAGTCGCAGCAGTTCTCAAACTGTGGGTTGGGACCCCAAAATGGGTCACGACCCAATTTTAATGGGGTCACCAGGGCTGGAGTTAGACTTGCTGGGGCCCCAGGCTGAAGCCGAAGCCCAAGGGCTTCAGCCCTGGATGGCGGGGCTCAAGGTACAGGCCCCTGCCCAGGGCTGAAGCCCTTGGGCTTTGGACCCCCCGCCTGGGGTGGCAGGGCTCAGACAGGCTTAGCTTTGATCCCCCCCCTCAAGGGTCATGTCATAATTTGTGTTGTCAAAAGGGGGTCACGGAGCAATGAAGTTTGAGAGCTGCTGTGTTAAAGAGTTGCTCCTCACAGCTTCTGCTATTCTCCCTAGGCTTATGGCCTTCCACCCACCCACCCTCCTGCCCTTTTGTGCCCAGGGATTCTCCTAGGCCCCCCAACCTGCGCAGGTTCCTATCCTGGTAGCAGCTCATCAGTCCATAACAGAGGTGGAACCGCTGAGGGAGAGAACAGATAAGACATGCCTAGGTTGGGGAAATGAAACGTGTTTTTAAACAGTGTTAGCCGATACACGTCAACATATTTTTAACCACCACTTAGCACCTAGTGTAGACACAGGGCTTACCTGGACTAAGAAAATAGGTAATATTTAAAAAAACATGTTACCTAACACTTATCTCCTTTCAAAAACACAGCTGAACTCTTTTAAAAAGCTTATTAGCTGGTTGTGATCACCCCTTAGGGTCCCAGTTAGCCTATCCCTATATATAGTATCTCCAGCCAGCTAATATATTTGTAAAGGAGTTACCTGTGTCTAGAGTAGCTGCAAAATCATGTTTAAAATCATGCTAGCTAATATTTTCAAACAATCTGTATTCCTAATCTAGACAGGGCCCGAGAGTGAGCTGCCAGGGGCATGAAACTTGATCTTCTTGTGCTGAGCTAGAGAGGAATTCAGCCAGGGACTGAGGGGCTCCGGCCTAGCAAGAAGCAGTTCAGAGAAAAAAATTTCACCTGTTGCAACAGCACAGTCTTGAGACGTTGGCAGGGATAGCAGTTGCCACAGATGGGTTTTGAAACCCTGGGAATGTCTTGGTCAAATGAGAACTGTTGGCAGCTATGTTTCATTCACTTTGAGCATGGCCCTTGAGCTCCTGTCTGAGTACCAATCTGACCCTTTGGCTAGGGAAAGTTGGGCACTGATGGTGTACATCCTGCCTGCACTAAATGCTCTCTACCTGCAAATGCAAGGACAAAGTAGAGATCAGATAAAAAATGTTTTGCGACTGATTTATATGCAAAGCACTGCACAAAAGTTAAGCTGTATTGTACACATCTCAGAAATGGAAGTACCTACAACCCTTGAGCAGTGGAACAAAATATCTTATGGTTCCACTCCATATTCTACACCAGTGATCTGCAAAACCCATTAAAAAAGTCAATTTAAAGTTATAATAATAGAAATTAAGAAATGTATTAACATCCTACAAGTCAAAAATTCTCAGCTGATTTATTTTCCCCCTGCAAAACAGGTATAAATATTTTGCTTTTGGGCTGTGCTGCATACTAAGTTTCATCCACAAAGAGTATTTATAGGTGAATTTTAAAACTTTAAAAATTAACCTGTATAACGAAAGTCCTGACAGACCCCTAATGACAATATAACTAACAGTGGCCCTACACTACATCTCCCAAAGCTATTTATTTGTTCAGCCTGCACACTCAGCAAGGTTGGGTTTTTTCTGAAAGGCTATTCATTTTTACACCCCACTGATAAACTTTCCTGCTTGAAACTGGGCACAAAAGGCTGACAAAAAATTCATCATTCAGTAGGGTGACCAGATGTCCTGATTTTTGGGTCTCTCTCTGATATAGGCTCCTGTTACCCCCCACCCCCTGTCCCGATTTTTCACACTTGCTGTCTGGTCAGCCTATCATTCAGTAATGTCATTCCCCAGAAGCTTAATCTTGAAACAGCTGGCAGATTAGAGCAGCTACACTGCAGCAGAGTCTACATAACAATTATACACTTTTAGGCATTGTGGCCCTAGGATGTCCTACATTCAGAACTGTATTCTTTATTCATTAGGATCTGCTAGCAGATTTGGCAAACTAATTAGCTCACAAAGAACTCTCACTTGCTCCACTTTGTGTGGTAACTGAGCATGTCTATTTTTTTTGTAACGGTTTCTTCATCAAAGCAGACAAGAGGAGGCAGGAAAAATGTGGAAATTGCTGCTCCGAAGCAGCTGAAAGACATTCTAGTTCTTCCAAATAAACCACACTGCTTTTGGAATACAAATTCAACTGAAAATGGCCAGCAGAAGGTTTTATGGGTCCTACTGATGACAGACTGGTGCCATTAAAAACCATGACCAAAATGCACAGAATTCAAAATATGCAGGTGGTCTAAAACAGAAACTAGGATTTCCACATGTTGTCGTTTGGTGCATGCAATCTTAGCTGTTGGTCCATCTGAATCAAGCAGATTTTGCAGTTAGCTTTTTTTGCAGTGTTTGGTTGATCAAAGAGACA